CGATAAAAATCATCTATCGTCTATCGTAAATAAAAAAAAAAACGACACACACGGTATACATATAAAGCTGCGCCCGGGCACAAAAAGCAGAAACTCGTTTTCACTCTTTTCTGCGTAGCCTTGCAGCGATTGCAGATGTGATTCCTCAAACTTCACGCCACGACGTTGCGTGCTGGCGTGACGTGCCTTGAAAAGCACAGCGAGAGCGAGGAGATATTCCTCTTTGTCACCGTCGTTTTAATGGAGCTTTCGGATTATTCAGCAATGAGACGCCGCCATTATAACGCGAGAAACAAAGTTCCACCGCCGACAAGATACGCGTCCTCGACTCTCGCGAAGTTTCCGGAGAGGGTCCTAACTTTTACCACAACAAGCACCATTTGGTTCCCATTTTTCACGCCGTTTCACACTGCCGCGAGATTTCTTGCATTCAATACGGTGCACCTCAAACCGCTTGAATATGAAAGCATGTCGCGCGAATACATTAGTACTCTTGAATTGATTTCTGCTTCAAGAAATTTAAAATTTTTGTTCTTCCACCTGCATTAGTGGTATAAAAAGGCCATTTGCTTTGGCGATACGTAAAAACAATCGTAAAATTTATTTGACTATTTCCTTAGCGCGACCAGTTTTATGTAATGGAAAGTTAATTCATGATTCATGAGATTAAGAAGTAAGACAAACCGTATTTTGAAGTATTTACGATGCCGTGTAATTTGCAAGGCACCCGTTTTAATTTGCATTTGACGTTTGACTCTGTACTTGCAAATTAATTGGATTCGAATACGTATTATACGATAAATGGTGCGAAGAAGAAGTATTTACCATCACGTTGCACCAACGGAAAATTGGTTTAATGTATTTTTTCCAATTTTGTAATATTGGAAGAAATATATAAAACTTAAGTAAAATGCATACTGTCGCAAAGAATTACGCGGTTTTAATTTACTGTCCCGCAGTATTGCAATAAATATCATAAAATTAAAATAAGCATACCGCATTGTACAGATAGAAATTACGCGATCATTAATTTATATCTTGTCATACTGCAGTAAACGTTACGAGCATGCATTGCTAACTGCACGATAAGAAATTGCGCGATATTGCAACTAGTTTATTTTGAGTTTGTTGTGCCTGGCGAGGTTCGACATCGTGCGGTTGTACAAGTTCGGCGAGCTTGCATTTTCGACGGCATCCATCTTCGTCACGCATTGTGTCCACGGCTCGATTAACGGCTTTGGCTTTCCGATTGCAACACGTCGTCGCGTGCAACGCTCGTTCGCGACGACGTGGCAGGTTCACCTTGAGCAAGGAGCCGCCCTGCACCCTGCACCCTGCACCTTGCGCCCGGCGCGACCCTGTCTCTCCGTTAGTTTCTGTCCGCCCCAAGGTCGTAGGCGCGATCGTATTATTCTCCGTCGTTTTTCGTGCTTCCCGGTCCTCGACGTGGTTTATGCCGTCCGTCTAAGTCGCGTTGCGTGCCGTGCACGAGCTTGCAACCCTGAAGCAAACCGCTGCCAACCTCGATAGTTTCTATCCCCTTGTCTTTAAACATATGTATTCCCGTAACAATCGAAGGTGAAAAGCTTCAAGGCCAATGAAATCTCAGATTATAACGTAAACCGCGGGGAAATAACGCGCGCTGATTTATAAATATTGTAACCAATTTTGACAGACAGCCATTTCCTGAATTGTTAAATAAAAAATCCACCTGCATCAGCAAAGTCAAAAACAATCTATATCTCGGAAAAATGTATTTCTGTAATAATTCGCATCTATATAAGCATATCGCTTGTACGAGATGACGCTAATATATTCCAGATAGATCACACTGGATGTTCTTAATGTCGCTCATTAAAATTCATGGAAACCGCTGTGAGCTTGGAGTAAATTCGATTTCTCCACCGAATCGTGCCTTGGTTACTTGTATTATTCATCAAAGCCGTGAAGAGAATCAACCAGGCAAACCTACTTTACTTGTTCGTAGCAAAATGCAGTTTCGATTGTTTACGATATTTTTTTTTCGCCAATAGTTATATTTCGCAGTACGAATTACATTTGTCTCTGAGCGTGACGGGCTTTGAGGAACGGCTCAGGTGTCTTTTATTGAAAGTCCTCTGGCGAAAACATATTTTTCTGTCTTTTTACTACGGTACACTGCGGTACTACGAACATACGAAACTTTTAGCGGACTAGGTCCGGCATTTCAGCGTTTCTAGGTCCGGAAAACTTTGCGGTTATCACCAAAAGACAAATGGAGGGTAAAATTAAATTCCGAGATCCTATCGGCCCAGCATATATCGTGATGTGTGTATCGCGTAATTAATATCTGTCGATACTCAGACTCGTCTCATACATTTTACGAGATTCAAAAGTAGATAATAATAAAGTACATACTAAATATTAAAAGCGATTTCATTCAGGCAAGCAAATAAAAGAATGATAAATCATTAACGCATTGATGGTTTTCCTTTCATCCTTTAAATTCATTTTTTAGCGTATAACACTAGAAAAGTTAAAATGTTGCTAAGGCTTTTAATTAGAGAAATATAAGTATTATTAAACGCAGTGAAAGATAATGAGTGTGGAGGAACGCACCGTGTATTAAAAGCAATTTTAGAAAATAGCACCGTTGGGATTCCTATGATTTTCCAATCGTTTGAAATTATACGATACAATTGCCATGGCCAAAGTTGTTCCCGGCAAGGAATATCGATCGATTGGCCGCTCCCAGAGCACGGAAATAAGCTTGGGGAAGTGCTGCGTCATGCTTTGAGAATAAAAGAGGCCCACGAAGGTGGATTTGTTCTCCGAATGTCGTTTTTAACGAGCGTCTCGACGCTCGTAAATCGGTGCGGAAGACGATCGATGGAAATTTCTTTATCCGGCTCGTAACTCCGAGTAGCGAAACACGATTCGAAACGAGTGCAATCGATCTCCGATGTTGATGAGAGCGATCGCTGTTTACGGATCGTTCCAACGAGTCGGTCGTCGTTTCCGGAACACCCGGTTGTTTACTCAAGCGTGTTGCTCGCGATCGCACGGATTTCGAATGCGCAGACTGCGAGATACTGCACTGCGTGATCGGGCGAATGCGAAATCGGGAAACGCCATCCGGCGCAGATATCGCGATATCAATATCGATCTTCCGCTATGAGATATTTTTCCAGACGTATAGAATGTCTGTCCCTTTTTCGCAACAAGACCATCATAAAGCAGGATGGTTGAGAAACGCAATATCATCTATGTTTCGCCGAATATGAGAAATTAAAAATTCAATAAAGGACTTTAAGCGCAGTTCCTCCAGCAAACAGAAATTCAACTAGTCATCGTTCACAAATTTCGCAGTGCGGTGAATTCTTAAAATATTATTATTTGTTATTAATATTATCATTGTATTTTTCATATATATTATAATTCAATATAAAAATGGATTTGAAAGTGCTTTTTAACGTAGTAAATGTTGATCACTTAAATTTATCACAATCTATAAAAGATGTTCTCGGAGTTCCGTATTCGCGAAAATAGATGTAATCCCATGAAGTACTATTTGTGAATTTTTCTTACGTGTTGTTTCAGCAATTTAGTTGTTATTTCCGGCATATTTCAACAGAATTGGAATAGACTCGTAAAGATCTCTCAAAATCGTTCTTCGGGATCTCGAACAACGGTTTACAGTACAACGTTTACGTCATCGTTATTACGGTTTATTAATGCAAACGTCAACGGTTGCGTCTTTGGTGCGAGAGGATGCTGAACTGAACGCGGTGAAAGTATAATAAATAAGAAATGGAAGAACATTTCTCCGAATTTGTAACATCAATGAATCACATCGAACAGGAAGCTCAGTGCAGCCGTCGCGACGGACAGCTCGATGGTTGTTTGTCGATCTTTCCGTCAGTCTGACGTTTTCGCGCTAGACGTGACTGTTTATTCAAGCCCGTTTCGACAAAGTCCAGTCGTAATCAAAAGTCGATCGCGAAAATGTTACTCGGAATTTGGAATAATACCCCCCGTGGAGTCTGGTACGCATAACGTCCGGGTCGACTTTCTTTTCAGTCAAAATAAATCGACTTTAAACAGTTTAAAGCTCTTATGTAAAAAAAAAATACGGGGGGCGTCTTAGTACATCCTGTATACAAGTTAGTGTGGTAATTGAATTTTCATTTAAGGATGCGACGATGAGAATATAAAAGAACAGATCGCCAAGGAAGCTGAAAGGACCAGCGCTTGACGTCTCAATCTTGTTACAGCTCAGCAACTATGACTAAAGTTTTAAAGTAATTGGCAGCGGGAATGTAGGTTAGTTGCTGTTCTAGCACTGTTAATGCCTTCCGCGTCTACTTTGCACGGTAATCGATCGAGTAACGAGCTACCAAAAAGGCCATCCGTTGGCCCGCTGATTGCCCGACTCATCGTCGCGATACCACTGACGCATCGAGATACACTGCAATATCGTTAGCAAGGCGAGAGAGCTCCGCTTCGTTACTCTGATTGCCGTGCAGTGCTACTTAATCAGATCGTGTACTTCCTAACGGTATATTCTATAACACGGCGAGTAACTCTCCCTCTTGAACACGCTAATAGGCAGTAGCACTGGCCGAGAAATTTCAGGCGTAATCGCGCATCTCAATTATCATTTTTATTTAAGTACTTTGGTAAACATAATCTTCAAAATGTGTAAATGTATCTTATTTGAAATAAGATTCACTATATTAATTAACCGATAAATTAGACATAGAACGAAAAGTAGAAAAACTATTAATGTTGTGAATTAAATTTTTATAAAATATTATTTTTTATCTTTCTATAATTTCAGTGCATAATAAAAAAATTAAAGCCTTATTTTAATGAATGAAATAATTAAAATTACTAGAAATTTAAGCGTGCTAAAAAGCTCGAAAGAAAATTTTACCTCATTAAATTAAAATTAAATCAGATGAAACGCAACAAGGTTCGCACTTTCGAGGCATTAATAAAATTTGACAAAAGTGACTCACCAGTTCTCAGAGGCGTCCTCGTCGAGGATGGTCCCGTCAGCAAGTCGATGAGGCAAATTAGCCGCCGTGCGTGGTCGGTTCCGGACCCTCGGCGGACCAACGACACCGGTTCTCGATAGGCCAGCCCGGAAGGACGCCCTTGCCCTGTCGACTGCTCGAGTCAACGTCATTGAGTCTCATTAGTACTGTTAGTAGTCGGTGTTAGAGCGACGGTAAGTGAAGCGCGCGGAGCTTTGCATAAATTGCCGTCGCAAGAAATGGCAATTACACCATCTACGATGGTCGATATGCACCGTCGTTTTTATTATCTACATCCCCGACGCTCGGCTAATGTACACAAAACGTGCAGGATAAACATGCGGGACGTGTGGAACGCAAACGTTGCACCTGACACGACCAGTCTCGCGGAGCGACATGCGCATGTGGTTAAGCCCAATTAGACAATCCGATTAAACTTGCATTAAAGCTGCTGTATCCATTGCGACATTAGTTGATTTTTAAAAAAATTTTTTTATTCAATACACGCTAATACCTTTGTTTATTCAATAATCGCTACTTTTTTCTAGAAAGTAAAATTCCAAATGCATTACAACTTTTTTTTATATTAACAATTTAGCTACATAGGTATTTTATTTAGCACGGGCGATAATTGCTGCTTAATGTCTCTGTCGAAGCACGAATGATTCGAGACACGCGCGCCGTCGGAAGTTAACGATTGATTTAACTTCGCCAACTCCGCATTGTCGCACTCGGCCCATCGAACTTGTCACGTTGGGTACTGGAAAATCCATTTACCATGTCGCTCAGTAAGAATTCTTCACAAAGATAAGTCAGTCAACGTCGCACTTTTAATTCGTCTTCTGACGCGCGGTTTGCCACGTCTGGCACACAGATGACAGAAATGTGCAATCTCCGTTTCTGCTTTACGTTGCTTGATTTCGCGCCAGCCGTGGCCGTTGAACTTTCACTAAAATTATTATGCCTGTCTTTGAACCTTCGTTCATCGGCGCCGCCAAAATTCGTCGACCTCCACGCGAAAAACGGCACGTTTGAACACGCGCGCACGATTGCGTCAACGAAGAAAGACTCACGATAGAAGACATGGCTTGTCTCCTCGCACAGACTCGAAGTTCTTCAAATCTAAATTAACATATTCAATTCTCTGGCCGAATACCGTATCGTTAAAATCTATTATCTTTAATCGAAAAATGATACGCGTCTAACGCGCGTGCACCAAAGCGTATTAAAAAAATGCGATTATCAGCGAAAATACGCGATATTTGCTCGTTACGTTTAATTTCGGTATGCAGATATGGACACTGAAAACGTCACGGTAAAACGCGACAAAGAAATTTCAATTAAAAATATTCGCACTCGAATGCGAGCATAGCTGGACGAAATTACAGCCACAATCGCTCATCGTCGGCGTAGCTAAAGAAAAAAAAAAGCGGATAAAGAGAAACTGAGTAAAAGTGTCGACGAGTGAATACAACGGCCGCAATCTTCTCGAATATATACCGATGTAGATTGTTATTAAACGGGAAAAATCGCTCTCCGCGGTTTCTCGATGTCTACTGTAATAATTTGCTGTTAGAAGGCGAATTGATTGGATCGTTTTCGAATTGTTTTTCTATGTGATGTCGACCCGATCCAAGTCGATGTTATATTGACTCAATAATAAGAAGAAAATGAATGGAGACAAAGACGAAACCGCAAATTGAATATTGAGTCAAATAATCTAAAATAAAGAGAGCTTTAAAAATAGATAATTACAGATGTGAGATTGAATCCTGAAGGAGCAATCGAAATGCAGCGTCGATAAGATATTATAACAGAGTTTTGTAATATAATTATTTAACAATTATCAATCAATTGCGATAATCGCGATGGGATCGATTTATTTAGATGATGGATTACACCATCAAATATCCGTTATTGATTGCATCTTGATGAGGCTAAAGCTGAATAGCCTGGACTCTTCAAGGAACAATTTCAAACTTTGTACAAACTATCGATTAGGGATTATATCGGCTTTTCAAAATTTCTGCGCATTCAGTTATTGGTATCTCGAGCAGATTAAAGTAGCATTGAATGTATTATTACGCGATCGTACGCAATCGCATATTAGTCAAACCGCCCCCATAATTAATTAAACGGTATCGACAAGTAATTAGTGAGTATTGATCAAATACAATAATTAAAAATGCTAAAATTTTGACATGTTAATTTCTTGAAAAAAAAAATAAAAAGTTATAATTTCTAATTTTCCAAATTATATGTAAATTTTCGCGATGTTTAAAAGAATCAAGTTTTTCTTAAAAAAAAAATGCGTGCTTAAAGTCGAATAAGAGTAATGAGAGAAAATTAACGCGTCCATTGATTTTTCTATGCGTGATGTCTGTGAAAAAGGTATTTCCTCGAGCACGCTCTTAACGCTGCGCGACTTTCCGCTACGCTCGATCGATTTCTGTTACAAGCCTCTAACCATCAGCTGCTTAGGGGGCGGATTATCAACCAGGAGGTAAGGTGCCTATAGCCACCTATTCGAGGGCATAACATTTATTACCGGGTCAGGGTTAACCGTTAGGCGCGCCACACACGTCCAGCACTCTGCAGCGTCATTCTAAAAATAGTTTCGCGAGCACTCCAGATATAAAACACGACCACGTGTCCCGTTCTCCGTACGCACATATGCACATACGTACGTTTTCTAAATTGGTTCCGAAAAATGGCAAAAAGCTCAATAGCGAAACGCGCTGGCGTAACGCGCCAACAAAATGCAAAAACTAAAAAAATAATTGCGGAATAGATTTTCTAAAATTCTCTATTAAAAATAAATGCAATAATATTTTGTCGATAAAATGATTTAGAATCGCATTTTTTACTAAACAAATTAGTATATCGTCGCAATTCTATTTTCTTAATCGCGAAAAAGATTTGACGCTGACATTATGCGATAGAACGGTGTCAGAGGCGCAAATTCTTTTGCATATTAAACATCAGTAAATGATTATAAAAGCAAAGTCTAATTACGGGGTTGGCCGCGAGATATTACACGCGCATGAACACCGACAAAAATAATGGGCAGAGACAATTAATAGTTTGCGTCTGAAAAGGCGCAAACTTGCAACAAGAGATATATGCGGCAATGACAATGCAGCGTATACGCGACGTACATAATTGCGCATACGAAAGAACTCGCGTCCGAATTTCCGCAAGATTGTAACGCGGCTTATTATGCGGATACATCTGACCTCGATCTATGATCGTAATAATGATCGTCACAAATGAGGAGTAACCTACGAGTGCCATACCACGTTCCACTTGTAAACGAAACGGCCCCGAATGTCAGCGCGACGATATCTTATAACGGACAATGCAGCAAGAAATAATGATAGCCACGTTTAAAAGCTGCAGGCAGTTATATGTGTGGGAGGCACGAAATGTCTTGGCAGGATATCGTGTGTAAATGTTAGGCCGCGAATATCGCTTAATCTAATTGCACAATAAAGATAAACTCGAAATTGAAGGTACATGCTGAAAATATCACCGATAATTACTTAAGTCGTAAATTTCGTCAAATTTCATCATTTTCTCTGGAATTTTGATGTTCATATATGACAATAATCTTGTGTGCGGAAGTTTCTCGTAATACAGACTGAAAATACTTCCATCGGAGCAGCCGCGAATTTTTCGTGCGTACGCGGTACATTTTCGTGCGAAAATTCGGACACGCGCATGCATCGAAAAGAGTCGAAGTAGAACGAATAAAATTGGAACATACAGCGTGTCGCGAGCCTGTTGTTGGCCTGACTCGGCGGCGGAATCGCGGGCTGCGGAGGCGGCTGCGAGCTCAGATCCTCGAAGTTTATGATTTGCAAGCAAATGTCGTCCACCTCGCTCCTTATTAGCGCTATCACCTCGCTGCAGAGGAACTTGGTTCCTGAAACAGGAAATTAGCAAGTCAGATACTCGGCTCTGAAGCGCCAGCCGTCTGACACACGGCTGTCGAGCTCTCATCATAAATGTATATATATGAGCGGTAAATGCTCGAGCAATCCATTGCATAAAGTTTAATTTGCTTGTAAAATAATACGCCAATACAAGGATTCGATGGATCGAACGTAATCGATACATCTAGCAGCACTTAGCTAAAACAAATTCTTTGCATGACACATAAGTGTCCAAGATTATTCATTGAAAGCATAACTGCACGTTTCGTCAAATATCGATTGCGTCTGAAGCGCTACCCGCGCAACTTCCATCCACTCGATAATTCAAGTTTCCGACGGCACTTCGAGATCATCGCGAACATCGATGGCACTTTGATGCGTGTCAAGGATTATCGAGGTGCGACCGGTAAAATTTGGAAATATTGCACAGGGAATTGCAAGAGTACAAACCAACGGAGAAATTTATGCCGGAGCACGTACAAAATGCCGTGACCTATTCGCGCGAAGTGGACTGAGACTACGACGCGATAAGTATTCCGGATTGACGTTTACTGGATGTCACTTAGACGCTGATGTACAAATTACGCGCTCTAGGCGATATTTCACTTGCAGGTAGACGCATGGGAAGACAAAGGATAGCCGATAGTAAAATTGAGAAACCTCCCATAAAAATCCTTGGATCACGCCCAAATAGTCGTTTCGTCCTAGCAACGCCTAACATCCTCGTAAAGTTTAAATTGTTGCTCGAAGGTGACATAAAAGTGCTAGGTTGCCCGATATAAGCTCCCTGTTACAACTTCGTTATATGAAATCGCACCAATGTAGATGTAACGCGGAGTTTATCACAACCTGTTTATACACTCGCGGATACTTGCGCTCTCGGATATAGTCCCGTAAAAAAAATCGTATATTTTATCTTTGACTCCAGCCACGAGAAACATAAACAGAGCGATATCGGCTTCCTGAAAGCGTCAACTCAGTTTTCTACAGCATAATAATAAAAAAAAAAAAAATAATCATCAAGATTGTGAATTAATCTCTTTCATCTTCCGCACTTCCCCGAAGCAGGAAACTGCTCTTGCTAATTGCGAAAGTCATCGCAAGCCGTGACAGTCGCAGAAAATCAGGCAGATAAGATATCAGAAAAATGTCACTTCACTGCTACGGGTTCAGCACTAGTTAGTTAGAGAAGTTGAAAATCTTGCGCGGGAGGAAAAATAAAACGTAAGTGAAATAATTTTGCGCGTAAAGCGATAATAAGATTTCGTCGAAATACCTCGCCGGCTAATTAACGGTGATATTTATGAATCAAAGCACTTTGGACGCAATTCAAAAGGAATTAACTAAAGGGAAGTGTCTCCTGTGTGAAAATGCGCCTGGTCAGAAACGGTGCCAAGATTGCCACCTGGATATTTCATGGTAAACGTCATCTCCGTGTAGCGTCAACATCTTTGATAAGATCCACATGTACTATCGGATTACACAAGCCGTCAGTTTGACTCTGCGGTACCACAATAGAATGCTTGTTTTACGCCGTGATCAAACGATCGCTTCTTAGATCTCGATCGATGTCACGGTCAAGGATGGTATCATTTTCGATGCTTTTATTCTATATATAACTACATCGTATATAAAAATATTTTTATACAATAAACAAATGATAAATTACTTAAAAGTTGCTCCGTCAATGCCTGATGCAATTTTTTTCCTCACAACCCATCGACTGCTCTTTAACACTCGTGAAAATACGATTGCGCAATATTTTATACGATATTCCTAACATTATCTTTGGCGTATTTCCGATTCGTACTTTGTCACATCATACAAAGATATAACTCGAAATAGCATGGTCGTTCGACACTCTGAACTGATAACGGAAAAAAAATTGCGCAATTAATTTTTAATGCCATCCGCCGCAGCTATGCTACATCTAAACTACTTAAGTTCGTTTTCTGCGCTTTTCACAAGTAAAAAGTAGTAATATAAATTTGTATTCAGATAAACAGAGCGTATATTTTGTATTATAATGTTTAGAGAGTTATTGTCAGCGCGCAATTATCTTGCCTTTATTCGCATGGCAACTGTCGAACAGGCCGGACATTCCGTATCGCAATTACGATAAATACTAATATTATTCTATACAAATTGTCAATCAATATTTTGCGTTTAATCAACTCCGTTGTTATTAATGGTTAGGTAAATAAATATTTTATTTTGCAAATCTTTGATTTTAATTTGTACATTAATTTATCTTTAAACATTATAATATGAGACAGTAATTGTCTCAAAATGCGAACACATACTACTTTTTATTTGTAAAAAATGTACAAAAATAGTTTCGATGTAGTATAGCTGCGATAAATAGCGCATAAAATGTAACTAATTTTTTATTTTCCTCTGTTATTGTTACCTGTTCGAAGTATCGAACAGATTGTATTTCCGTACGACCGTGCTATTTCAAGTTACATCTTTGTCATGACGTGACAAAGTACGGGTCAGTAATGCGCAGAAATCAATGTCGGGAATGCCGTACAAAAATATATGCGATTGTCGTATTTTCACGAGTGAGTGCTACGAAAGAGCAGCCATCAATGAATTATTGACAGGAGGAGGAGGAGGAGGTCCAAGGGATATCGGGCAACTTTAGTAATGAATTTATCACTTATTTACTATTTATGTTACATGGGTTATATTAATCATTTATTCTCGCAACAAAAATATTTTATCACTGTCGCCTATCATAAATATTTTTTTATACGCTAAAAATACTGTCGACACACAAAATTTTCAAGAGATGCATTTATGTATACCATAAAGTTATGATAAAATTATTTTACTCGAGCAGTTTCAGTATAAACCGTATTATTTAATTATCTAGTTGGTTAAATTTTTACTTATTAAATAATTAAGTTTTTAAATTATTTATTTTATATAAATGGACGTTAAAAGATGAAGTAAACGAAAAATAAATAAAATAGATCAATCAGTAAAATACATTTTTAGGACATAAAGTATTTATCAAATTTCTTCAAGGTGTTCATATTGTATGAACGAAGATATCGAAATAAGCCAAACGCGTTTTCGATTAGTGTGATTATTAAATGTATTTATTCTTGCAATGCGCCAATTTTATTTTGATCTTTTTTAACCTATTCATCCATATTTGTTGATAACTCGTCTCAGAGCACGATAAAATAACACAAAATCCAATAAATATTTTGTTGCAAAAGAAAAATTTTCTACATCTTAATAATTGATCCACACGCAATTGTGATAACATATAAAGGAAACAAAAAAGCATCTAGCTTTTCTCGTATAAAATTAAGATAATAATCTTCTTAAAAAATAAATTTTAAAATTGTTTGTTGCAGTGGGACAATTATTTGCAAAGACGTGTTTGTCTTGGATATTTCTAGTTTTAGTAATCCGATTTGTGTATGTGAAGGTCTCCGTAACTAAATTAACCAAGACATTCCAGACAAGCGTTCCGTTTCTCTTCAGCAAGCCCCAGTAGCGTCGTTAATTTCTCACACCTCGCGCGTATTGTTAACGCTTAGAGCAGTCGATACATGTGGTTTCTTCAGCAACGTCACGACAAGCTGTCCTATCGATCCGTCGACGTTCTTGCTCTCTTTCTCTTTCTCTTTCTTTCTCTCTCTCTTTCTCTCTCTCTCTCTCTCTCTCTCTCTCTCTTTTATCTCGGCTTCTCTTTGCTTTATGTAGAATCACGCACGCCGCGACAGGTCACGCATAGTTGGCTTTTTACGTTCGGTTGAAATGCAAGAGAATCGTTTTCGAACGCGCGCAACTTCGTGGATTTCAAGCACGACCACGAAGTGCATGTCTTGCCCCCTCATAGATTTTATAGAGATAACAATCTTATTCCTAAGAAATATTCAGTAAGCTTAATTATAAGCTTAATTATGAATATATTGTATAACTATAATTATAAAATTTGCAAAAGTAAATGACAAAAGTATGACTTAAAATGTTTTCTCTCTCTCTCTCTCTCTCTCTCTCTCTCTCTTTTTCTCTCTCCCTTTTTGTTTTATTTTCTATCAATATAAAATATTAATTTTTTTCTTCTATTTTTATATTGTGATATATAATTATTTAGATGTGTAATAAGTGTGGTGTAATATGTAATTAAGTAACTAGATCTGACTTCAATTTGATTTCAAATTCAATTTTTTCCAATTATTTTTGTTTTCTTTTTGATGGTTACTTATAAGCTTTTATATGTTTGCTAAAAAAAGAATGCCAACAAAAGCCAATTAGCATTCGATTAGAAAGAGCTTTGACAGCCAATCAATGGAGAATTTTTGTTATCGGTTTGTAACGTTGTTGTTCTGATTGTTAACGTAGAAATATAACAAAGGCGCACTCTTTTTGTCCACGTTTCAATACATTTTTGTTTGGCATCTGTAATATAAAAAAAAATTGGTTTATCCTTATGCGCACGACTAGAAGAACGATTCGGATATAATTTAATTTCCGTGAATAAAAGTAAAGCTGCTGGATTTATCTTCTTGTCTTCAAAGTGATTTTTATTTTAAGCTGAAAGACTGCCAAGTTTTTAAGCTTAATTCAAAATATTCCGTCTGTTCGCCGAAAAAAATCTTTATTAACTATTCCAGCAAATATTATTTTTTTCTAGAAGAAAATATATGAGGTCATAATAAGAGTTGATGTGCCGGAAAGTGTGAAGTTTTTCGGCCGGCTGGTGCTGTCAAAACGGTTAAATGATATCGCTGGAAACAGCGTTTCCCACTTCGACGCGTCAGATAAGGCGCGAGAGACGGATGTTTTATCTACGCGCGGTTCCGGCCCGAATGGTCACTAGGACAGACATTAAAGATCCATAGGTGTGAAAGGAAAAAAAGGATGGCGAACACGGCGGAGATACTGCAGCAGCTGATTTTATGAGGACGATGTTTTGAAAACATACGCGCTCGTAAAACTCGACAGTAAAGACAGCCATTCGTTGCGA